GCAATTTAATACATCAATTTGGTGACGTTGTGAACGCTCGGGAGGACGGGAAGGGAATTTTAAGGAGAAAGAGCCAAGCCAACACGACTATATAGCTCTTCGAAGGAGTCAGGATAAGGATTTGGGATGGGACGGGGGGGGGGGGGGAAGAAATGGTGCCCAACCACTTGGACGGTCGGGGATTGAACACCGACCTGCATGAAGCGAGACCGTCACGGGCTGACCTATTATACCGGGCACACTGTGACACGGTCCATACTTCTCTGGGAGGTATGTGTAACCTCCTGTTGTATTCCTATTGTAGTAACCCCTTGTAGTCTGCTGGAGGACACACCATCCAGGTGTCTGCTGGAACACGAGAATTCAGCAGACACTAACTCTAACATTACCACAATATATTGTCTGATCCCGCGTCAGATTGAAATGATTTTGATTAAATAACCCGACCCACACACAGGAGATATGTGTGAGGACCTTTATCACGTCATGACATGACCCGCCGTCATTGTCTGCTCATGTCATGTACTCACCTCATTGTGCTTGCGGGGGGGGGGGAGGGGTTGAGCTTTGGCTCTTTGGTCCCGCCTCTCAACTGTCAATCAACTGGGCTATTTTTTTGTATTTCAGAGACATTATTGTGACTTATTCCCCGCTCTGAATATGATAATACCTGCGTCTTGTAAGGGAATCAAGACATTAGACATATTTAAAAGCAAAGCAAATGAGACATTACCGTGGAAGTCCTGTTTACATACTAAGTTGAAGCGTATTGACGTATTCACACTCGCTCATCATCTAGCGAACACTCTAATACATTGCCACACGTTGCCAAATTCTCAACAGCGCTAATCACTGTGGCAACGTGGGTAACTAACAGCTTACGGGTAAAAAAAAATTGTTTTAATGTCAATTAAAAACTGAGAGAGATTGACTGAGCGAGGCTTCCAGGAAGCCTCGCTCAGAGCCGACGCGGAACTTCTGTACCGGCATCGGTTACATTTCAGAATTATTCGTGGGGAACATAACTTATAATCCCCGCGAGAGCTTTTGAAGCGGGAGGTTGTTGTAAAGGAAGTAAATCGTTCATTTCTGCTGGCGATTTGCCGTGTCTTAGAAACTTAAACGAAACTCACATTTTCTCTTGGTATTATTCTCCTGTTTTATATCGGCTTGTTTTTGAGTTCTCACTCCACTGTCTTGAATCAGTAAATAATACTTAGTTTCTTTACCAATGAGTGATGTGTGTGATGGCGTAGCAGATGTGTGTGATGGTGTAGCAGATGTGTGTGATGGCGTAGCAGATGTGTGTGATGACGTAGCAGATGTGTGTGATGACGTAGCAGATGTGTGTGATGACGTAGCAGATGTGTGTGATGACGTAGCAGATGTGTGTGATGACGTAGCAGATGTGTGTGATGACGTAGCAGATGTGTGTGATGACGTAGCAGATGTGTGTGATGACGTAGCAGATGTGTGTGATGACGTAGCAGATGTGTGTGATGACGTAGCAGATGTGTGTGATGACGTAGCAGATGTGTGTGATGATGTAGCAGATCTATAAAGTAGAATAAAATAACAAATCAGTAAAAGTAGGGAGACTTCCCTACACTTTTGTTCACATTATTCAGGAATTAGTGTCCCTAAAAAATTTGTGGATAGTTTTAAATTCTCTTGAAATCAGATCTCTCTGTCACGTGAGCACGTCCACTCAGCCGTAAAGGGGGCCTGACGGCTGAGTGGACAGCACTCGGGGTTCGTAGTTAAGGGTCTGGGTTCAATCCCCGGCGGAGGCGGAAACAAGTGATGGGCAGAGTTTCTTTCATCCTAATGCTCCTGTTTACCTATCAGTAAATAGGTACCTGTGAGTTAGACAGCTGCTACAGCCTGCTTCCTGGGGATGTGTGTGTGTGTGTGTGAAAATTAGGATTAAGGACTTGCCCGAAACGCTATGCGTGCTAGTGGTTGTACAAGAATGTAAGAACTCTTGTATGTGTATATATATATATATATATATATATATATATATATATATATATATATATATATATATATATATATATATATATATAATATATATAATATATATATATATTATATATATAATATATAAATATATATATATATTATATATTTATAATATATATATAATAATAATTAATATATAATTAGTTTGTTTCCGGTTACATCGTAAAGCTGTTAATTTAAAGCTTAAGAAGTTGTGAACGTTCCCAAAAATTCTTATTATATTTAGTCCAAATCTCATGTTTAAAATTATCTTATTCTTCTTCCTTCTTTGCCCATATGAATGTCACCTCTCTGTCAGCAATGTATTTTTTAATTGAAATCTGAAAACAAAGGTGGAGTTGTTGTGGGAAAACAGGTTGAGTGATGGGACGAAGATTTGGTTGAAGCTAACTCGATACACGTAAAATGTAAATATGTAAATACACGTAAATTTACTCGTAAAATGTAGATATGATTAGAAAAAAAATTATCGTTTCATTGAACTACAAAATGTTCAGAAGAGCTTGCAAACACATCTTGGTGAGCACATCTACGTGAGTTCACACACACACACACACACACACACACACACACACACACACACACACACACACACACACACACACACACACACACACACACACATTAGGAATGCACACACAATGCATTAGGAAGTGATGTGGTGGAGGCTGACTCCATACACAGTTTCAAGTGTAGATATGACAGAGCCCGATAGGCTCATGAATCTGTACACCTGTTGATTGACGGTTGAGAGGCGGGACCAAAGAGCCAGAGCTCAACCCCCGCAAACACAACTAGGTGAGTACAACTAGGTGAGTACACACACACACACACACACACACACACACACACACACAAACTCAGCTCTGTGGAACGGTGGAAAATTCTGCTGAATCAACGTTATATTTTTAGCAATATCGATACCGGGAAAGTTTTAGAGAAGGGGAGCCGGTGGGCGGACGCTGCACCGTAACTTATACAACAGGTCTCACCAAGGAAGTGTCTGGCTGTTTGGAATGTTGATGCAGTGCCTCACATCCACTGGTATTGGCTACTCTGTCAGCCCGTCCTCCTAAGGCTCTCAACGTCAAGAAACTGCCCTTATCCTAACAAACCAGAGGACCCAAAACAGAAAACGGGACAGTACGTCACTTTCGTGAGCCGCTTCCATTTTCTAGCACGACAATTTTTGGCCTTATATGACGCATAGGAGTGAAAAGCGACGTTCTCTGTAAGAGGACAGGTTGCGTCCTTAGCTTATGGAATCTCGATATGCCTAACAGGCTTGCAGTCCTCGACAATGAGAAACCAAACCGGATATATAGCACACACTAAATTCAAATTCACACGCATGGAGATATAGTGTTCTTAATTATTTTTAGGACAAAACTTCCCAAAAGGGTTGGATAGGTTAGGTGTTGTTAAGTTCATAGGGTTTGGTAAAGCCCTGGTATTTTTTCGAACCCGTAAGGTATATCATCAATAAATGTAATGTGAATTAAGGAAATTTAATGCAAATTTTAAAACAAATTCACAAGTTAGGCCTCAGAGCGGGACCGTTTTCTGTGATGCAGTGTTTTGGTTGTGGTGTGAGAACCGCGCTCGATGAAGGCCGAGACTGGCCACAATGAATGAAGGGCACACGAGTACCTCAGCATTGTTCCTCAGTATTGATATCCTGCTCAATATGAAGACAGTTAATTACCTCAGTTATTAAAAGGCTGATTATTTCGGCTTAAGGCTTTCTTTAACGTGTAGGTATATTAAATCGTATATACCTCCAATATCTCGGTGTTGCGTATATGACGAGGCTGCATATACGCTCTTGAGTTGTTAAATGTGTCTTTGCTTCTCTTTATAAATAAACTTTGACCAAAGAACTGAAGGTAATTATTGACATGCCACAAATTAGTTTTAGCTTATATTGGTAGCTACACAGTGCCATTATATAACTCGTTCTCGACTCACCATCGGGAATCTTGGGTACGAATCCCGGGCGAGACAGAAATGGTTGACACGTTTCCTAATCACCTAATGCCGCTGTTCACCTAGTAGTAAAAATCTACCCGGACGTTTGTCCACTGTTGTGTGGTTGCATCCTCGGGACGATCAGTAGTTCGAGCTTCTGGGGACCTTGATATAAGCTTAATGTATACACAGGCTACCTGTCCAAATTATTAATTAAAAATAGTTCTATGCGTTTCCATTGAATTAATCAACAGCGTGGAAAAGTTGACTTCTTTTGACCACTTGGCACTGTTGTGGTGGTCACAACCACCTGTAATGGGTCACAGACACCTGTAATGGGTCACAGACACCTGTAATGGGTCACAGACACCTGTAATGGGTCACAGACACCTGTAGTATAACAAAGGGAGGAAATTTTCCGAATTTTACGACCTGGTGTTATCAAGCGCACATCCTGTGATGGAATACAATGATGGAAATCATCATCCTGTTATGATGCACTTTTGTGATGTAGTGTTGTGAGTGTATCCATGCTGACTATCACATCATCAGAGATGCAATGTAAGATTTACTATTTTAATATATAATTATGCTAAAACTTTAGGAAAAACGCAAAGGAGAAACAAATAAAATATATTAGTATAGTTTGGTAGCAGTCTTTCTTGTAGATATATATTATTGAATATGAAAAAGGGGAAAATCACTAACTTTTATCATAAATTTTCTCTATTTTTTTTCTTCACTTGAAAAGGATATTGAAAATTGAACTTAATTTTACAATTTTGTTGAGGCCGGACGCCAGCCCGAGTGCATGGGGAGGAGGGAATTGTGTGAAACACCGGTTAGGCTTCATTAGAATCCTAACAGTTTATCACATAAGACCGTATTGTTTTTATTACATGTATATATGTTAACTTTACCCCCTAGAAGTTCTCAACAAGGCCAGAATATATTTTCCAACATCACTACTCGCACACATTCATTGTTATGGACAATAAAACTCATTAAAATATGTTGTTTTAATGCTACAAAGCTCATTCACATGTGAATGCTTAATGTTATGATACAAAGACGCTGAAAGCAGGATATATCTGACACATACAACAATGTGGGGTGCGATATTACGACTTCGGAGATGTTTAACAAATGTATAGTACTGATGTTTTTTCAAACAAAAAACAGTCACGATAAAGCATGAATATACACACGTATACATGCACACACACCAAAGAGCTCAACCCCTGCAAGCACAACTAGGTGAGTACACACAATTCCCAAATATTACCAAAGTATCAAGAAAGCATTATACAAATACAGAGCCTAATACTAAGTCACTAGGAAGCCTCGCGTCCGTCCTAACGACAATGATGCTTAAATTTGATCTTCCAGGTAATAATGCCATAATTACAGCTGAGTAAATATGAATAACAATAGAAATGGCTCTTGTTAACTCTCGGACTACTTCCAAGTGGCTCAAATGCTAGTTTTATATGGCTATACACGACTCAAGAACAAAGTTTTACACGAATCAGACACTAGGCTACATGACCCTCTAAAGGCTCGCTCAAAATTACTTACATCCAATGACAATAAAAATGTAACTTAATTCATGTACAAGACCAGTGATTACACCGTTGTTGGCAGGTGGAGGAGTCGTGGGAAGCGATCACTGTTGTTGCTGTCAAGTAAGGGGGGACCATGGAGTGTGATCACTGTTGTTGTTGTCAAGTAAGGGGGGACCATGGAGTGTGATCACTGTTGTTGCTGTCAAGTAAGGGGGACCGTGGAGTATGATCACTGTTGTTGTTGTCAAGTAAGGGGGACCGTGGAGTGTGATCACTGTTGTTGTTGTCAAGTAAGGGGGACCGTGGAGTGTGATCACTGTTGTTGCTGTCAAGTAAGGGGGACCGTAGAGTGTGATCACTGTTGTTGTTGTCAAGTAAGGGGGACCGTGGAGTGTGATCACTGTTGTTGCTGTCAAGTAAGGGGGACCGTGGAGTGTGATCACTGTTGTTGCTGTCAAGTAAGGGGGACCGTAGAGTGTGATCACTGTTGTTGCTGTCAAGTAAGGGGGACCGTGGAGTGTGATCACTGTTGTTGCTGTCAAGTAAGGGGGACCGTGGAGTGTGATCACTGTTGTTGCTGTCAAGTAAGGGGGACCGTAGAGTGTGATCACTGTTGTTGCTGTCAAGTAAGGGGGGACCGTGGAGTGTGATCACTGTTGTTGCTGTCAAGTAAGGGGGACCGTGGAGTGTGATCACTGTTGTTGCTGTCAAGTAAGGGGGGACCGTGGAGTGTGATCACTGTTGTTGCTGTCAAGTAAGGGGGACCGTAGAGTGTGATCACTGTTGTTGCTGTCAAGTAAGGGGGGACCGTGGAGTGTGATCACTGTTGTTGCTGTCAAGTAAGGGGGACCGTAGAGTGTGATCACTGTTGTTGCTGTCAAGTAAGGGGGACCGTAGAGTGTGATCACTGTTGTTGTTGTCAAGTAAGGGGGGACCGTGGAGTGTGATCACTGTTGTTGTTGTCAAGTAAGGGGGGACCGTGGAGTGTGATCACTGTTGTTGTTGTCAAGTAAGGGGGACCGTGGAGTGTGATCACTGTTGTTGTTGTCAAGTAAGGGGGACCGTGGAGTGTGATCACTGTTGTTGTTGTCAAGTAAGGGGGACCGTGGAGTGTGATCACTGTTGTTGTTGTCAAGTAAGGGGGACCGTGGAGTGTGATCACTGTTGTTGTTGTCAAGTAAGGGGGACCGTGGAGTGTGATCACTGCTGTTGTTGTCAAGTAAGGGGGACCGTGGAGTGTGATCACTGTTGTTGTTGTCAAGTAAGGGGGACCGTGGAGTGTGATCACTGTTGTTGCTGTCAAGTAAGGGGGACCGTGGAGTGTGATCACTGTTGTTGTTGTCAAGTAAGGGGGACCGTGGAGTGTGATCACTGCTGTTGTTGTCAAGTAAGGGGGACCGTAGAGTGTGATCACTGCTGTTGTTGTCAAGTAAGGGGGACAGTGGAGTGTGATCACTGCTGTTGCCAGATAGGATATTATCAGAAGGCTGTTGTAAAGTGCTAGGCCCTGGTCCTGTGGTTGTTGGTAAGACAGGCTTGCATGTGGTATGGCAGGGTGGGAATCTAATCTAACTGGTATTGTGTTTATTTACTGTAAACGTCTCTGTCTCTGCTGTATGACTGTCTCTGCGCGTTTGTTTCAAGTTCTCTCACTTTACATATTTAATTCGATGGGCTATCATTTTTCCTTAACTGTTGCAATTTATGTATTTAAATGTTCAGAACAATTACGGTGATTTGGTATGATTTAAAAATTCTGACAAAGACACTATGGAATCATGTTGATGGTTGGAAACCAATCTGGCTAGTTTAGGCTTGCCAGCCAGAAGAGGCACACACATGTTGGCAAGAAGAACACCGTGAGAGCCAGTAAAGTCAGAGAGCAACTAGAGCTATCAACTGAGGCTGCTCCTGGGTAGTCTTAGCCTTGGTCTCACACCTCCTGAGGTCCTGCAGGTAGTAGATACACAGCAGTGGGTTGAGGGCGGCGTTGACGCTGGGGAGGCACAGCGTTGCCGAGAAGGCCAGCATCACAGCTTCACCAAGCTTGACTCCTCGTATAAACTCATTCACCAGGTACACTAACCAGTAGGGCAGCTGACAGGCTGTGAAGGTCACCAACAGAGACAGGAGCAGTCTATAATGGCGCACTGACTCGTCTGTAGTCATGTGTGAGGTGCTGTGCTCGGGAGGGGTGCAGGGCCTACTGGTGTGTGCGGGGATGACTAGGCTCATCAACACCCAGCACATCACCAGTGGGGCTACAAATACCAGGATTATGATAAGAAACCGGAGGAGTTGACTCAGCAAGGCGTCTTCAGACAGGGGCAGAGACACACAGTGGAAACGTTCCTGCAGAACCTCCTTGAAAACCTCAGATTGCAGAAATGTTGGTATGCTGAAGAGTAAAATAGTGAACCAAGAGACGGTGGAAACTACATTTACAAGGGTCGAGCGGAGCTTGGCCGAGACTCCCGCCATGCAGGTATCAACGTACCAGCTGCCACTCAGAGCCACCAGGAAGACTGAACTCATAACAGGACCAATAAGGACGAGTGCCGAGCGGAGTTTACACAACAAGGAGCCGAACACCCAGGAGTTGTGTAGGTGTGCCCGAGAGTCGTACGGAACTGTTACCAGGAAGAGGATGTCGGCCGCAGCCCGATTCACAATATACCTGGCGGCGAGGCTCAGCTCATTCTTGGAGGCAGCCAGGACACAGACAACGAGGGTGTTGGCCACCAGACCCACCACACACGCCACAGTCATCACCACTGACTCCTTCGTTACCACAGCAGTTGTGACGGATTCCCACCACATCTCATTCTCTATGGTGGTGTTCCTTGGACATGTAAGGGAACAATTGGTCACCTGCTGGGAGTTGGAGTAAAAATCTAGACGGGTCATGTCCAGTGAATCCATGGCTTGATATTGTGTTTTGTTTTAGCCTCTTCGTGTACCACAATTATTTCTTAAACTTCAGCATTACACAGCCGGGATATTGTGATCTCTCACTTCAGCTGGTGTCTGTGATATCTGATACAATGTTGGCATGAAGAGGTCCTCCTCCAGCTAAGGATGACTTGACTTTGGAACTCGCAACCTTAACTGCTGCCACCAATACCTGTTGAATATATTTAGTTTGTTAAAACTAGAATGTTTTGATTCAAGATTAGTAATCTATACCTGTAAGAATGTCTGCCTGTCTATCCAAATTTGAAGGCCAGACGCTTGAGGCTTTGGGGCCTTACCCAAATTTGGAAGAGAAATGGTCTGAGGGACGGACATAGGCTGGTTGGGGTAGGCCTACGTTAAATGATTTAATAAATATTAGCAACTGTCCACCGAGACAGGGAGCCGGTCGGCCGACCGGACAGCACGCTGGACTTGTGATCCTGTGGTCCATTATTATCCCTGGGTTCGATCCCAGGCGCCGGCGAGAAACAATGGGCAGAGTTTCTTTCACCCTATGCCCCTGTTACCTAGCAGTAAAATAGGTACGTTGGTGTTAGTCAGCTGTCACGGGTTACTTCCTGGGGGTGGAGGTCTGGTCGAGGACCGGGCCGCGGGGACACTAAAGCCCCGAAATCATCTCAAGATAACCACACCCCTTCATCCGATTCTTCTCGGAAGAAAGGGTAGGGAGGACTTGGGGAGGGACCGGGTGGTGACTGGGGAGGGGCCGGGTGGTGATTGGGGAGGGATGGAAAAGGGAGGGGTGAGCGAGGAGGGGGAGAGGAAGAGGACGAGGGGTGGGGATTATATTTCATGAAAGGGAAGAGGGGAGAAGGATTAAGGGGTAGAAATAGCCTAAGCTACGCTATCCATTTGAGATGTATTTCTTTCTTGTTTCATTGAACATACTTGAACTTGGGGAGAAGGGTGGGAGGGGGGGAGGGGAAGAGTTGAGACCTCACACCCTCCTCACAAGTGAGGAGGGTGCCACACACCCTCACAAGTGAAGTCACACACCCTCACAAGTGAAGTCTCACACCCTCCTCACCAGTGAAGCCACACACCCTCCTCACAAGTGAAGCCACACACCCTCCTCACCAGTGAAGCCTCACACCCTCCTCACCAGTGAAGCCTCACACCCTCCTCACCAGTGAAGCCTCACACCCTCCTCACCAGTGAAGCCACACACCACCCTCACCAGTGAAGCCACACACCACCCTCACCAGTGAAGCCACACACCACCCTCACCAGTGAAGCCTCACACCACCCTCACCAGTGAAGCCACACACCCTCCTCACCAGTGAAGCCTCACACCCTCCTCACAAATGAAGCCACACACCCTCCTCACAAATGAAGCCACACACCCTCCTCACAAGTGAAGCCACACTCACCCTCCTCACAAATGAAGCCTCACACCCTCCTCACCAGTGAAGCCACACACCCTCCTCACCAGTGAAGCCTCACACCCTCCTCACCAGTGAAGCCACACACCCTCCTCACAAATGAAGCCACACACCCTCCTCACAAGTGAAGCCACACTCACCCTCCTCACAAATGAAGCCACACACCCTCCCTGTATATTTAACCCGAGGAGAAATCTTTAGGGGACAAGGAAGCCCGTTAAGCTTTTTAAGGTCCTCTTTTGCCAGGCCGAGGCTATCCTCGTGGTCACCCGTCCACTTACTGGTCCGACCCCGTGCACAGTACCTTGCAACGATGACTGTGTGTTGCCGAGGATGTGATGGTGTTGTGTTGCCAGTGTGTTGATTGTGACGGCTGGTGGTGTTCCCCAGAGCACGGTGTGTTGAAATGCTGGGCGGGAGGGCGTGGGTGACGCGGTCGGCCACCAGCCAATTTACGAGGCAAGAGTTGCTGCCCACCACTTATGCCCATCACTTTATCCACCAAGTTAACAAAAAATATAGATTTTTCGTATTCGTAATTTTGTTTGTGGTTGTCTCCACCCAGGAGACAGTACACTCCGTGTGAGACGCGGGTGTTGTGTGTGTGTAGTAACGGTTATGAATGGTGGTGGTGGTACAGAGACATCTTGGCTCGCTACCACGGTATAGTGGACGCGTTCACTACGAGTATGGACACAAGGATAAAGTAATCACCATCTGTGGAAGCAATTGACTCTTGGATGTAACAGGGTCCTTCTGTACCCCGCCCGGCTGGTGTCTTTGTGTGTGTGTACTCATCTAGTTGTGCTTGCGGGGGTTGAGCTTCGGCTCTTTGGTCCCGTCTCTCAACCCTCAATCAACTGGTGTACAGGTTTCTGAGCCTACTGGGCTCTTATCATATCTATATTTGAAACTGTATGGAGTCAGCCTCCACCACATCACTTCCTAATGCATTCCATTTGTCAACTACTCTGAATTGTTAACATGAGAAAGGAACTAAACTTACCTTCCATTTACGAAAGAATAGTTCTACTTAGTACTATGTTTTGCGCCAAAACTTTGAAAAATAATGGTCCCCCCAGCTCTATTCAAATTAAATTGAGATCCATTCTAAACAATTCTGACTGTTCCCTCAATCCGCCGCAAAAAGCTCCCTACAGTGTGTGGCTCAGTTGTTGTGTCTATAATCTTCAGAAACTGAATGTATCTCTTAACCCTGATAAAACTGTTCACTATATTCCCCCTTGGAAAGATGTGGAGGTCTCTCTGCATTATACTCCCATCAGTGTAAAACAAATGTATAACACTGACATTTTGAGATGTATAACATTAGAAGCTATTGACAGTCATCTTCAAATTCTCAAACCGACTGAATCCTATGCCTTTACTGATGGCTCTGTGCAGTTAGGCACTGGTAGAACAGGTTGTGCATGTGCAGTGTATAAAGGGAATGAAATGATCATGACTAGTACACAGAGATTGAACAACTGGGCAAGCACGACACAGACCGAGCTATTGGGTATTTATCTAGCCACTGAATACCTTAAGCTCAATGGTGGTGGAGTTATTTTCTGTGACTCTAAAAGTGCTCTGCAGTCCTTAAATAACCCATCACAATGTATGTCGGAAGTAGCTTGTAATATTAAATGGAATGTAATTTTTGCCAATGATAATAATTCTTGTATAAAATTTGTGTGGATCCCATCCCATGTTGGAGTTGAAAAACATGACTTTGTAGATCAATTGGCCAATGAGGCTTGCAGGAAAGAAAACATTGATTATGATTTTGGACTATCTAATGCAGTTATTAGAAACATACAAATTAAAGAAATTAATTCAGATTTAGAAGAACTAAGAAATGCACAGAGACCTGAAAGCTGCAGTATTAAAAGTTATGACAAGTTCTGTAATAATAGGTATTTGTATGGTCAGCACAGTAACCGGACCAGGCAATGTGATGTAGTAATCGCGCGAATTCGCCTTGGCTATAGACACATCTGGCAGGTTAGTGAGGCTGAGCCACTACCAGAATATTCAGATTGTAAACTCTGTGATAAACCTTTAATGCATTCACTAGAACACTATATTGATGAATGTGGAACCGTAAAGGACTTTAGACCTCCTGGCCTATTGTACCACCAACTGTGTAACTATTTTATTGACTCAGGTGTTCTGGACGACATCCTAACAATTTACCCAAAATTTGCTTGTCCATTTTAAAGAATGAAGAACAATTTCTACTTATATTCTAAGCTGTATCACTTATAAACCCATCCCTGCACTTGTGTGGCAGTGCACAATAGAAAGTTGTTTCCACATATCCACACATTAAAACATTGATTGTAACCGTGATATATATGTGCTTCAGCCTACAGTTTAGGCCTATTGTCTTATGTATGACCCTCTGTCCTGCGTGACAGTGAATACTAGCATTAACCTCAATTTAATAAGACTATCAAAATCCTCAGATTAGGCAAAATTGTAATTAATTTTGTCAATAAAGATGTTAATAATAATAACTACTCTGACACTAAAAAAGTTGGTGACCAGACCACACACTAGAAAGTGAAGGGACGACGATTTTTTATTATTGCCGCCAAAGGCGGCTAGTTTATTGTGCACCCCATACAAATCCTGTGAGCGGTAGCGCAAAAGCATTACAGAGGGCACAAAAGGTCTTTATCAGACCTCATCTTAGATTATTACATAAACAATTTCTTCAATCCTTCACACCTTATAGATACAATGTCAGCTAGTTACAGAGAAAGTGCTATTACAAGAGCTACATATTTACAGTAAGCCATCATACATTAATGGTAGGTCTAGTCGTTAATACATAATAGTTTGGCCAATGGGGATATTACAGAGTCATAGGGGAGCTTCTGTTTATTATTAGTCCTCACAATACACTACTTGTTTCTGAATCTCATATGTCGTTCATCTACTGGAAGCAAAATGTGGGTACAGTGCAAGGATTTCAGGTAATTTATCCATGGTAATAAGATAGGTTGCCATATCATACAGAGTGAGCTTAGATTTATCTCTAAATGGCTCAATTTTACAACAATCCAAGATAGTAACAATCCAAGATAGTTCGAGTGTGTGTTCCTGTCTTTGTCCACACACTTTACACTTTACTTCATCTAGATCCCTATACAAGCCGAACTGCCAGAGATACTTGTAGCCAAGTCTTATACGAGCTGTGACAACATCTGTTAGTCTTCTGACTTTGTTACTTGCCCCATACACATGTTTTACTTCACACATTTCATTGTGATGAACAATGGACCTGCTAGTTCCAGTTTGCACTGTTCTACTTTCTTCAAATCCATCCAGGAGTTCTCGTCTAATGACACTTTTAAGGGACCTATTTGATAACTCAAGATTCCGTTCAATACTGTCTTTATTTACTGCAGCCTTTTTTAGGCTCTTTAGTCGGTCCCAATAGTTTAGATGTTTTACTGAGTGGATTCTAGCAGTAAAGGATCTCTGCACGCTCTCCAGGTCAGCAATTTCTCCAGCTTTGAAAGGTGCTGTCATTATGCAGCAGTACTCCACTCTAGAGAGCACAAGCGTTTTGAAAAGTATCATCATCGGTATAGCATCTCTAGTGTGAAAAGTTCTTGTTATCCAACCTGTCATTTTTCTTGCAGTTGTGACGGCTACTTTATTGTGTTCTTTAAAGGTAAGGTCTTCCGACATGAGTACACCCAGATCCTTTACATTGCCTTTTCGTTCTATGTTATGATTTGCCTGAGTTTTGTACGTGGTTTCCGTTTTTATATTTTCATTTTTTCCATAGCGCATGAGCTGGAACTTATCTTCGTTAAACACCATATTATTTTCTGTAGCCCATAGAAAGACCTGATCTACATCTGATTGGAGGTTTACCGTGTCCTCTATGTTGCCAACTCTCATGAAAATCCTAGTGTCATCTGCAAAGGATGATACAGTGCTATAGGTTGTGTTCTTGTCTATGTCCGACATGAGGATGAGAAAAAGTACTGGAGCAAGCACAGTACCCTGGGGGACTGAGCTCTTCACGGTTGATGGGCTGGATTTTATTTTGTTGACTATTACACATTGGGTTCTGTCAGTCAGGAAATTGTAGATCCATCTGCCTATTTTTCCGGTAATTCCTTTTGAACGCATTTTATGTGCAATAACACCATGGTCACATTTATCAAAAGCTTTTGCGAAATCTGTGTAAATTACATCAGCGTTTTGTTTGTCTTCCATAGCATCTAATGCCATATCATAGTGGTCCAGCAACTGCGACAGGCAAGAGCGCCCTGTTCTGAAACCATGTTGTCCGGGGTTATGGAGTTGCTGTGATTCCATGTATTTTGTGATCTTACTTCTTAGCACTCAAAATTTTTTATGATGTGCGATGTTAGCGCTATCGGTCTGTAATTTTTTGCCTCTGCCTTATTTCCTCCTTTATGAAGTGGTGCTATCTCTGCTGTTTTTAGTATATCAGGAATAACGCCAGTATCTAGGCTTTGTCTCCACAGAATGTGGAGGGCCTGCGATAGTGGTTTTTTACAGTTCTTTATGAATATGGAGTTCCAAGAATCCGGGCTTGGTCCAGAGTGCATAGGCATACTGTTTATGGCTTCTTCAAAATCCAGTGGGGATAGGGTGACGTCTGATATATGATTTGATGTTGGTATCGTATCCATGAAAAATTCATTTGGGTTATCAATCTTTAGTGTGTTTAATGGCTCGCTGAAAACAGACTCGTACTGCGTCCTCAGTAGCTCGCTCATTTCTTTGTTGTCATCGGTGAAAGTTCCATCTCCCTTCCGCAGGGGCCCGATACTAGATGTGGGTTTTTATCTTGATAAATCAACTTTGAGAACAATATACATATGACACAGCTGATATATGACACTAGTAAGCAGTCATGACTGAGGTGACACAGCAGCTGCAGACACAGACAAGGCTAAGTAGGAAACAAACATGACTGGTGGGGTAACAGTACCAAGCACACACATGACTGGTGAGGTAACAGTACCAAGCACACACATGACTGGTGAGGTAACAGTACCAAGCACACACATGACTGGTGAGGTAACAGTAACAAGCACAGACATGACTGGTGAGGTAACAGTACCAAGCACACACATGACTGGTGAGGTAACAGTAACAAGCACAGACATGACTGGTGAGGTAACAGTACCAAGCACACACATGACTGGTGAGGTAACAGTAACAAGCACACACATGACTGGTGAGGTAACAGTAACAAGCACAGACATGACTGGTGAGGTAACAGTAACAAGCACACACATGACTGGTGAGGTAACAGTAACAAGCACAGACATGACTGGTGAGGTAACAGTACCAAGCACAGACATGACTGGTGAGGTAACAGTACCAAGCACACACATGACTGGTGAGGTAACAGTACCAAGCACACACATGACTGGTGAAGTAACAGTACCAAGCACACACATGACTGGTGAGGTAACAGTACCAAGCACACACATGACTGGTGAGGTAACAGTAACAAGCACAGACATAACTGGTGAGGTAAATCTTACAATACACTGTGCAAGATAGGAAGAAGGTTTAAGCAAGTTACCGTGACCATTTAAATAACGTTTTCTATAATGCCCGTCGTGCAGTGCAGATATCTATCTATCTATCTTCGGAGATTGGATTTAATTATGTCAACTAAACGATTGTAATGTTTCTGAGCTCTTTTACAAACGTAGCTTATATATATATTGGTAAACACGAGACTGACATGGAGCCAATAAGGTCTAAAACACATATATACCGCCAGGAAAATTATGCCCGAAACGCTATGCGTATTAGTGGCTTTAGGTATTGTATGTACTAGCTCTATCTGTAAATCCAACTTTATGTTTGTAACTCATCTTCTATGTATGTACTAAGATTTTACGTATTCTTCTATGTATTGTACTAAGATAAGATACCTGAAAACAAATTTGAATTTTGAATTTTATGACGTCATAGACATGTCACCCATCTTGTGCACACCATACATTTTCACAACATTGTTATCTGATTTGCGTTAGGTTAGGTTAGGGTAAGTTGGGATAGGTTAGGTCAGGTTAACTTGGGATCTATCTTGAGGTTATCTTGAGATGATTTCGGGGCTTTTTAGTGTCCCCGCGGCCCGGTCCTCGACCAGGCCTCCACCCCAGGAAGCAGCCTGTGACAGCTGACTAACACCCCAGGTACCTATTTTACTGCTAGGTAACAGGAGCATAGGGTGAAAGAAACTCTGCCCATTGTTTCTCGCCGGCGCCTGGGATCGAACCCGGGACCACAGGATCACAAGTCCAGTGTGCTGTCCGCTCGGTCGACCAGGGATAGGTTAGGTTAGGTCAGGTTAACTTGGGATAGGTTAGGTCAGGTCAGGTTATGTTGGGATAGGTTAGGTTGGGTTGGGGTAGTAGGGCTGACATAGAGGGATTAATGGGGGGATATTAGGTATGAAAATCCTATTCTATATAGTAGAACCCATATAGGTTGGTTTTCATAAGCACCGCTCCTGTGCCAGGTAAGTCCACCACGGGCTCACCATAGCCCATGCTACTTGCCCCGTTCCTGTACCAGGTAAGTTACGGGCTCACCATAGCCCGTGCTGCTTGCCCCGTTCCTGTACCAGGTAAGTTACGGGCTCACCATAGCCCATGCTACTTGCCCCGTTCCTGTACCAGGTAAGTTACGGGCTCACCATAGCCCGTGCTACTTGGAACTTGTTCAGAGTAGCTGAATCTATAACAACAACGTCAGGTTGGCTTTGAAGGTATTAACTCCACCACAATCACTATAACACCAGTTGGTGGGGGAAGATCGTGCTTTATTTGAAATTTTTTATTTATATTATTTTTTTAATTTCATTTTCCGTAACTCTTATGTATTCTCTTCAATTCCGAAACTAAAGCTAGGTACAGTGGTTATTATACATTAAATAATAATTTAAAATAAAACTGCCTCGGTACAATCACTCTATTTATGCAATTTCTTTCTTTAAACTACTCAGTTTGATTATTATCTTCACGAGGAATCAACTTTGCAGAATAAAGTATAATTTGCAATATAAATGGACAATTCTTTATAAATTAAACCTCTTGGCCGCAGCCAAATTTAAAACTCTCACAATGTTCCCATTTTCTTGTAAGGGGTTTAAATACAAAATAAATAAATATTAGGGTAGGTTTATCGTTAAGAAATCGACATTAATTTTTATCCACCTCAAAACAAAAAGCTAAATTGTCTGTATCAATATAATGCAACGCGGTTCGAAGCATTTAATAATATTAGAATTACCGCCTATGCAACGGAAAAAGAACTTCAGTTTAAACGGGTTGAGCAAGATTTATAATACTATTGTATCCCATACATTATAGACGAGAGAAAATGGAAGAGGTAGAGACCCATTTTCTATGTGTGGAGTCAGCTGGTGCCGGAGTCCCACAATGCACCAGCGGAGGAAGATGGTCGTGGAGTGAGTATCGCCCGCTTGATTCAGTTGGGATGTGTTGTCATACCGCTTTCCATCCGTCTTATTAGCCATCGTAGCCTTGAAATTGACGTAGAAGGTGTACCGTAGCTAATAAAATATTCACCGTTCGTAGTACTCTACCCCAAAACTGTAGAAATTTGTGACAAATGCTTGATAAATGTCGTGAGTAGTGTTTGTTTACGTTTCTAGGGCTGTGTTTACATGGAACAGCTGATTGCATGGTTTACCGCGTTGCGCTTTTCAGCGCTCATTATTTGACGCCGCCGTCGTCATGGTGATGCCTGTAGCCCTGTGGGAGATAACAGGTCTATACTTTATGCGAAAGTGATGACAGTGACGTGATGAGACAGAGACAGTGGTGTAGCCTTCACAGAAGCGTAACTAGCTGATCATCTCACCGATCTTCAGTTTGTCTTAATTATTCGTATCTGGCCAATAACACTTAAAGTGTCATATTGATTACTAAATATTGCGGTATTTATGCTCGTTGATTCATCCGTTTGTCAGGAAATTGAATATATATCGATATAAATTAATAAAGGAGGAAAGTGCATTTATTCTTCACATATTGCAATATATTTTTATATTAAAGCAATGTAACGCTTGTAAGTCCATGCAAGGTTTAAATTGTATGCGATTTTATAGATTATATTTTTTAGGTATTACTAATTTATATTCCAAATCCTGCATAATTTTATAGGTTTGATATCTCGTGAAGCCAGTTTTATTTTATTATTTAATGTATAACTTCTGGACCTTAGTTTGTTTTATTTAATTTGTTTAGTTTCTAATTCGAGATTGAAAAGAAGGATGACAGGTGTTGCGCAAAATTAAATTAAAATATAAATAATCTACCCACGAATTTGTATTTAACATCATGGGTTGTGAACATAGGACCACTAGATTGTACCTTGTTATATTTTGTTATATTTTTTATTATCACCTATAATCGCCATTAATTTGTATTATATAATTAATTTGAGTAGGGAATCATCCAGTACGCATCGGTGCCATATGTACGATTTGAAACTGTATCTTTATTTTCTTTGGAATTTAAGCTTGCAACACCTATTTATGATAATGAAATTAAGCATTCTATTGAAATTAGGCATTAGAGATACCATTTTATGTTTTATATACGGTGTGAACGAGGTCCGTAACCTGAACGAGGTCAGGTATCCAAAGGATACCTGATCCAAAGGATACCTGATCAACCAGGCTGTGACTCATACGTCAGGCTGCGAGCAGCCGCGTCCAACTGCCTGGTTGATCAGTCCGGCAACCAGGAGGCCTGGTCGACGACCGGGCTGCGGGGACGCTAAGCCCCGGAAGCACCTCAAGGTAACCTCAAGGTAACCTCAAGGTAGTCGATATCAGTCATTACAGATTGCAAGCATAACTGCCCCAAATTCTTTACACATTTGGTCGCTAATACCTCGAAATACTCCGGAAAATCTCGGTTCGAATTACAACACTAGGATATTTTTTCCGATTGAGAAAATTTATGTATTTAAGTTATATGAGGTTTACGGGAATTATTTAGGCATTAACAGTGGCTACCATATAGGGTGTAGTGTCATCATTGTAACCCAAATAGAGGCATGGGTTTTTAATGTGAATTATTATATATCTAATATATATATTTTTAATGTGCATGATTATATTATCTAATCGGTCAGTATCTCGGAATTCGTCAGTACACTCGTTTTTTAATACTGGCTTGGTTGTGTCTTTTCATAGGCTTGTCTTAGGTTTTTCTTACGCTCGAGAGTGAGTACTTGACTATCTTATTCATGTTAGCAACCTAAAAGATCTCTTATTCCATCTGTAACAAAGAGGACATTTGAGAGACCAAGGACATGGGAGAGAGCGAGGACACAAAGGGGGGGGGGAGGGACATGCAAGGAGAACAGGAAAGAAGGATGCAAGGAGGATGATAAGGGTAAGGAGGGAAGGCAGGGGAGGGAATTATCAGGGGAGGGAGGGCCTTCCAAGGGCTATACGACTATATAGCCCTCAGAAGGGGTCAGGATAAGGATTTGGGATGGGACGGGGGGAAGGAATGGTGCCCAACCACTTAGACGGTCGGGGATTGAACGCCGACCTGCAAGAAGCGAGACTGACGCTTTACCGTCCAGCCCAAGCGGTTGGGGTAAGAAAACAGAATTCTTCTTTGTGTCGGGGTACAGACAGCCAGTGTATCTTGGTAAGGGAAAGTCATCCTCATTATGTACATGTTATTGAATATTACATAATATTGTGTTCCAATTTAATCCTCAAGTGTCTGTTTGAGGAAGGATATTGACAGGTGACAAGTTATACGCAGACTAAGACGTAGACGATATGAAAACATTTTAAACGCGCTTAATTGATTTGATATTGTAAGGTGGCGATTAACCAGCGACTTGAAATTATCAGAGTACATGATACTCTTAGTTCAGAAAAATACTATTATTATCATCATATTAACTATTATACTCTAAAAATCATAATTTAAAATCTTAGTTCAGAAAAATACTTTAAAAACATAATTTAATCCAACGAAGCCAAGAATTTGTTATTTAATCAAGTGGTAAACATGTAGAATACCTTAACAAAAAAAAACTAATTAAATCTATACCGTATCAATATTTACCAATCAGATTGGTTCTTCGTTGGCGTGCGCGTTTAGTAAAACATACAATTGTAATGGGGAGACTAGTATACCCCTGCTTAAGTTTGTATTTTTTTTTTAGTTTTATTTTGATACTGGTGCTACATAGCCTTCCCGGCTTGGCGCCTTCTTTGATAATTACTTTATTTTCATACAAGCAGCTGTATCTGGCATTGCTCGAGCGTAGAACAAGGGGTCATATTTCAGTTACACACAATCTTCATCATTTTAACATCTTCAATTCTACAGTCGAACCTGATGGATCCCTTGAGTTCACACACAATCTAAATTTCACCAAGTACGTCTTCACACACACTGTCACCAATGCTGTGCATCCTCACAAGCAGTGCCAGATTATCCAAGAGGCGCGGTAGGCACAGTGCCTATGGTCTACGAGATGGGGTGGGGTGTCCTATGAAAATGAAATGAGAACTTTTTCTTTCCCTTTTTATACGGGATATTATTGAATTGATACTGAACTACTTTTCTATGGGATACTATTAAATTGATACCGAACAACTTTTATAGTTATTTATTACTTAATCCTGTCGGTATCGATTTATGTTACGTAATTATTTCCTGTGCTATTCTATTTAGGCATATTATAATTCTCCACCAGCCAGCTGTGCTTCTTGTAAACAAAACTATTTCTATCCTGTACAAAAACAGATGATCTAACCCATTTTCTTTTATTCAGCACTTAGCAGACATCACTGAATCTTTGTTTTTCTTTCAACAACACATTTTTAATTAGATATTAGCTTGTGTTATTAGTGAATGTTGTCAAATCTGAAACCTTATCTTGAAGGTGCCAAAGGCATACGAAAGTTTTAATCTGGCCCTACTCACTTGGAACGTGTTTTTATTTTGTACACTACACACGATCTCCATCATTATGATATCCTCGCTACTATTAAACATCCTCCGAGTATCAAGGTGATAAAATTTGTGGTTATGAGGGCTCCATGTCACCATGGAGTCCCTCTAGAACTGGTGTTGAATCGGTTTCTCTTGTGAAAATAAATGATCATGAATGTATCACGGGAAGAAGCTGTTATAAACGTTTGTATCATGAGTACTGTTTACTGTTAAACAAAAATTAAAACTAGGATCCTGAAGCTGGAACCTCTTCTAGCCTATGACGTGTCATGTTACTCCTGGGACAGTCACGTGGTATATACAGTATATTAATCTGAACAACAGTTCCCACTACAATCATTGGTAATCGAGTAAATCAGCGGATCGCAATCCTGGGGACGATAGGCAGTAAACTTGAATTCATAATTGTGAGTACTTATCAAAAAGAGTTCCTCTACGAAACACCTCCGACTATGGTGGATAAAGGTGGGATATGGAGGGCTGAATAAAGCTCTGGAGGTCCTGCGCTGCTTGACTAGCGCCCTTCCTTCGTTAGTGGTCTAGCACGTGCTTAGACCAATAGCAAATAGGTACAGATATATACACCAATAGTAATCCATCATAGAAGTCGAATAGGTCTGGACCTTATGACGTCATGAAAGAGTACTCAGGACGTTGGAAGACTTGTCTCCAATCTGATGATATGACTTGACCCTTTTGGGCCCAGGGGGCACAAACTTCACATTGACTCCACTCCCCTTACCTGTAAAACAGAGTTCTAATGATGACTTGTATAATCTGCTCTGGATACTCATAGACTGGGTCTGCAGCGGTCCTTTCAATATCATAGGCCTCTCCAGCCTAGGGGGGCTATCTGTGGTGTGATGATATTGTTTTGATACTGCAACAACCAGCAATTGCATGCAACAGCACCAACACCGGTGGTGGTCATACAAGAGATGAGGTGGCAGACGTTCACAATATGCGAGAGCCATCGCCGAAGTCCACTGTATCTCAGGTGGAGAGAAAGGGTCAGGTGTCAGGATGTGGGATTTGCAACTGCAACGGCCCACTGGTGGACACTCCAGATGTAAGGTTCTGGACAACCCTCGTCTCCAAACGATCATACAGGTAGTCCCCCCCTCCCCCCATCACTGGGTCGTTAGCTTCCCCAACAGCTTAAGCAATCTAGAGAATAGACTAATGGTTCTCACACTAAATTCAGTATTTAGTGCTAACGGGCTATGGGGGTCTTGATACCCTGAGCCAACCCGCAAGTAGCAATAATTAATAACAGAGCAAAATAACTGGGCAGTACTCAGAAAAGGGGATTACGAAAAGAAAAGTTTATTTATTCAGTAAAGTTACTCGCAAATACACTCTTATATGACGTGTCTTTAATCAAGAGTGTCACATTCAACAGCGAAGCAAAACATATGCAGCAGGACCTCCATCCCACCACTCTGCTTGGCATGCACGAGCCCTCAGTCTCTATCCTCTTGCATAGGTATGAACAAAGTAAAGTAAATTGAACACTAGGGAACACTGACTGAACTGCACTCGGAACTTGCAGTGGCAATCAACAATGAATTGAATAACACAACAAACCCACTGTAACACTTGACTAATGATCAACACGTCACTTTAGATACCACACTAATTAATTTACGTTAACACTTGTCAATGAGACAATCACAAATCAATTGACGTTAATTGATGGTAACGTACTTGTCACAAAGACAACACACAAATACTTCATAAACTTATCACAAAGGCAAAAATAAACAATGAGATAAATATGCGTTTGTCACTGCAACCCGTCCTCGACTCAAGTCCATTACATCCAGCGGTCGACCCCACAGACGCATTCATAAATTTTAATATGCTGTTCATTCAAAACGGAAATTTTCTCAAGTATAAATTAATATTATAATATATTAGCATATTGTGCATATATAGGCATAGGTTAGGTTAGGAATTTAGGTTCTGTTGGCGATTATTTGTATTTGTAGTACGTGGGTGAAGCATTTATAGCGTTGTGATTCGAACAAAATTCGTCAGTGAAGCACTTGTTCCGGATATGTTCGAACGTCAGCAGTTGTGAGTCGTGTGTAAACCGCTTTTCATTCATAAACAGGGGGTTTGGCGAGTGCATGGAATCACTTTTGGATCTTTGTTTGGAGGACGGGCTGGTCACTGAGACAAATGAACAAATGAGATACTCACCCAACTCAACCCGTCCTCCAAACAAAGACCCAAAAGTGATTCCATGCACCTGTTAAACCCCCCATTTATGAATGAAAAACGATTTACACAAGACTCACAACTGATTTCGTTCAAACACTTTCAGAACAAGTGCTTCACTGACGAATTTTATTCGAACTACAATACTATAAATGCTTCACCTACGTACTACAAATAATTGCCAACAGAACCTAAACACCTAACCTAACCTAACCAGTGCCTAAATATGTACACTATGCTAATATATTATAATATTAATTTATATTTAAGAAAATTCCTATTTTGAATGAACAGCATGTAAACATCAGCCCGTCCTCCAAAGACCCAAAAGTGATTCCATGCACCTGCCAAACCCCCTGCTTATGAAAGGAAAACGGTTTACACAAGACTCACAACTGATTTCGTTCGAACACTTCCGGATCAAGTGCTTCACTGACGAATTTTGTTCAAACCACAAAGCTGTAAATGCTTCACCCACGTACTACAAATACAATAATAGCCAACAGAACCTAAATGCCTAACCTAACCTATGCCTATATATGCGCAATATGCTAATGTATTATAATATTAACTTATATTTAAGAACATTCCTGTTTTGAATGAACAGCATGTAAACTTTTATGAATGCGTCTATGGGGTCGACCGCTGGATGTAATGGACTTGAGTCGAGGACGGGTTGCCCAACTACATTAATAGGATGACCTCATGTGTCACAAAGACACAACTTATACTTATGTAAGTGTCACTGAGACACTAACTCCAAAATAACAAATGTAGTAACAAACCCGTGGTGTCGCAAGACAAAATTATATATCACATGGACAACACTGAATGTGGAGTGTGTATTTAAACAATTATGCAAATGGTGTACAGTTCAGTTTCACACAGACTGCTGCACTAACACCTGTCTACGGTCTCTCGTCCATATTACCTCTCACTTGTACTGGGTGATTACTAGATATAATCAAGGTTGGGCAGCTGATCAAAGATCACAAAGTAACTAAAATATAATGGAACAAAGGTAGAGAATAATTACTGTAAGGCCGGCCTGGTCACACTCACACTCGTCATCATACAACCTTGGCAGCCACTGAGACACAGCAGCGTCTCTGTAGCACTTTAGAGCCTTAGATGACTACTAAACTCTATCACACATGATGACATGAAAATATCCTCATGGTTGACATGTGGTGGCAAGTGTGTTACAGGCAGGTTTTACTAATAATCTTTATATGGCTTTGTAGTTTGTATTAAAGCAGATTCAGTAGTGTTTCTATTGAAAATGGTTTTGCTATTTGTTACTGAAGTAGACCTCTCCCAACCAGTTTGGTAAGACTTTCAGACAAATTAACAAATAAAGCATTAGATAACTGACCACTTCTTACAGAATATCTATGTTGTGAAATTTGAAATTTCAAATCTTTAGATGTTTGCCCTATGTTGAACATAATACTGTACAATCTTTACAGGGTATTTTGTAAATACAGTTATCACTACAAGGGCTGTTTTAAACTACTGTAATATTTTTCCAATTGTATTTTCATAATTAAATATCACGTGTAGATAAAAAAAATCAAGGCCTTGACAGTATTTTTTAACACAGAAAATTATAGTAAGCATAACACTTTTTTGGGTGAATTTTGTGATATGTACATTGAGCTTTTATTACTACAAGCTCCTAAAATATTTGCTGGGACTAACAATTCATAGAGGTCCCTCTCTTCATCCCTCCCTCCCTCCCTCTTTCCTCCCTCCTCTCTCTCTTTTTTTTTTTTTTTCTCTCTCTCTCTCTCTCTCTCTCTCTCTCTCTCTCTCTCTCTCTCTCTCTCTCTCTCTCTCTCTCTCTCTCTCTCTCTCTCTCTCAGTCTCTCTCAGTCTCTCAAAAATGTTTTAACATGTTTGTAATTAAATTTGTTTTTTACAGGTGTGTGTTAAGAACGTGAACAATTGTCGATATTGTTGGAGGTCACCAAGTGTGCGTCGGGTTGCTTTCATCCTTCCTTGTTCTTGTTACTTATCCTTATTGTGAATTGGCATCACCACTTTCATCCTGTCGTGTTACCCTTGCCCTTCCTTCTTGGCTCCCCATCCAGACATTCTGGTCAAAATGGAGAGTGAAGATGTTGGAATTTATTCTACCTCATCCCCACCTCCCTGCTCATCTGTATCCTCTGTAAGCAATGCTTCTTCCTCCACCTTTGCTTCCTTGGCTACCCACAGTCAACATTGTACATCCAACTCTATCTGTGCTTCATCCTGCAAAGAAGACATGGAGGTGCAGGAGTTGAAGGTTCGCCTTCGAACTCGCAGGACTCGTGGCATATCGACGTCTGACAATGCTGATGAGGGACGACAGAAAAGTAAGTGAAGCCAGTTTGCTTTTGTAACCATGTTGGTGGAGTCTTAATTCTTGCAGCTGCAACATTTTTTTACGTGCAGAAAATAAAGATATCTATTTGTGATGCTGGTGGTGCAGTGGCATAAAATAAGGAATACAATAAAGACAAAATGGGCAATTACTTTGTATTTACAAGGGCCAAAGCTGAGTAATGTATTTATTTATTTTTTATTTAAATATATATATATATACAAGAAGGTACATTGGGTTTATGAGAGAACATAGCATTGATGTTTTTACATTCTTGTAAAGCCACTAACACACACAGCATTTCGGCAGGTCCTTAATCTAACAGATAATCAGATAATTTTAAGTAGGTACAGTAATTTCTAGCAAAATTGAAAAAATGGGCAATTGTTAGTTATTGAAGTAAAGTTAGTTATTCTTTTTAGTTATTGGGTAAAGTTACATATCTCCAGACATTTAAGAAAGTTATTAATGTTCTTGGTGCAAATATTATGGAATAAAAAAAAAGACATTATATAAAATGACATTATTGATTGGATACTGTGCATTCAATACCAGAGATATTTTTTGAAAATATTAACATCCAGAGATTTGACACAACCAAATCTCTGAGCACCCTAGTGCCAGTCTCCAGACAGAGGGCATACTGTCAGATTTGGGTTTAATTTATTTATCTTATAAGAAGGTACATTAGATTTATGAGAGTATATAGCATTGATGTTTTTACATTCTTCCAAAGCCACTAACAGACATAGGGTTTTGGGTAGGTCCTTAATCTAACACACATTTTAAGTAGGTAATTTGTAGCAAAATTTGAAGAATATTAATAGGTACAATGTAAGAAAATTTGAAGAATATTAATAGGGGCATTGTAGTAAAATTTGAGGTTTATAACAGATACATTATAGCAAAACTTGCATTCAACATAACTATGATACAAGTGGATAGCAGTGATTACAATGGTGAGGTTGCATGTCTTAGGCACATATATTGGGAGAGTGGATAGCACAAGATATAAATGGTGATAGACCCATGGCATAGACTCCAGATGGGTAGAGCAGAGGTCACACCAAGAAGATATGCCGCTGGGCCGATCTGCTGAGACACAGAGCTAAAGAAAAATATCCAGTTTTGAACACGGCCAAAAGAGCTGGAAAGCAAGTCTGAGTTGGCTAAATAGTAGCCAAATAGATTACCATGCCTGAAAACGTCTCCAGTCTGGACACCATCCAAAGCAACAAGAGAATTGGGGAAATAGGATATGCACCCTGCCTTGACCAGTTCAGCCAAAAAGCATCCATTACATCGGGGAACAGAGCCACATAGGAGGGAGTCTGCTGGTTCTATGTCAGTGGGAAGAATTCGACGTTGGGGAACTGAGCGACCAGGCCCCAGAATTGAATTGATGGAAGATCAGGCTCCATAGCTATGGCTATGGCTATGGTGGGCCCAGACTGAGCTTTGTCTTTGGCTACTCCTACTGATCCTTTTCCTTCCCCCAGCCTCTTCCTTGGCAGGGACAACCACCGAGTCCCTAGTGGTTACTACCTTGTCACCTGTGGTGACGCAATATTTGATGGTTTCTGTAGTCTTTTGCCCACTATTTTCAGGAAGTCCATGATTAACATCCTTGCAGTAGAGTGTGCACATTTCCCACAACCACTGTTACATACCATGATCAGTTTGGCCCTGCTATGTGGCCTAAATATTTTGATGTTTGTCATAATGACCATGTCCACCCTGACGATTTACATATACACAGGCATCTTATGGACTCTGTGGATGCACGTGTTGAAGGCCCCCTTCTAAGGAAGTGACCATCTGCCTTGCTCCTATATCTCTCATTGGTGAGGCCCCAGTTTGGGTCTCCAAGAATATCCTATTGAATTACATTACCTGCACGGTCATTTTGTTCAATATTGATGTGAGAGACAGGGAATTTTACTCTTTGACAGGGAATTTTACTCATTGACTGTGTGACATGGCTGGTTATGATCTCGCTAATTATCTATAAACTGCACAACATGGTTGGGGAAGTTTTAAAGTACTGCATAAGATTTAAAACTCCTGCAGGTACAATAGGCTCACATCTGCTTCTTCAGGCCTCCAGTAAACAAATATAGTCTTTGAAAAAATTGTGGGCATCCCTCCGGTGTGTGCCGAGGGCCTTAGTACTGTGAAGGTAACCATGAGTAGTGCACAGTAACTTCAATTTTTTTTTTTTTTTTTTTTTAAGATATATACAAGCATTGTTACATTCTTGTACAGTCACTAGTATGCGTAGCATTTTGGGCAAGTCCTTAATCCTATGTTCCCTGGAATATGACCCCCACGTAGAATTGTTTTTACAGCCAAGTACCCATTTTACTGTTGAGTTAAACAGAGGCTACAGTTAAGTATTTGCTCCCAGTAAATCCTCCCCAGCCAGGATACAAACCCATGACAAAGCGCTTGCGAAACGCTAGGTGAGTGTCTTACCACTACACCACGGAGACTGGTATCAACTGAATGGCATGTGGCACTATGCTGTGCTTGGATGATGAGATTACTACACCTGCCACAATCGCTTAGTGGTTCATTATGGAGCAAAAAGTTTGATAGTTATATATAATATGTGTACTGTATGTATATACGTACAGTGTAATAGCAGCAAAAAAAGTATGTTTTATTTTTTTTTTTTTTTTTTTTTTGAGATATATACAAGAGTTGTTACATTCTTGTACAGCCACTAGTACGCGAAGCGTTTCGGGCAGGTCCCTGGAATATGATTCCCTGCCGCGAAGAATCGTTTTTTCATCCAAGTACACATTTTACTGTTGCGTTAAACAGAGGCTACAGTTAAGGAATTGCGCCCAGTAAATCCTCCCCGGCCAGGATACGAACCCATGACAGCGCTCGCGGAACGCCAGGCGAGTGTCTTACCACTACACCACGGAAACTGCAAAGATGATCAGGGCCTGTCCGGGAGTTGAACCCGGGACCTCTCGCACCCTAAGCGAGAATCATACCCCTAGACCAACAGGCCACTGTTCAAAGTTCAATATTGTTCAAAGAATATTAAATTATTTAATACAGTATTGTGCATGTTTTAGTGATTTGAATATATCTGTGTGTACCAATGTCCTACACATTTTGTGATACAGTACAAGTAACATTATTGACAGCTCAGTACATCATTGCAGTTGAAAAAAACATGTTAAAACATTAAAAATATGAAGAAAAAATAATATATTCAGTTTGTGCTGTTGTAACATTGTATAAAATAAACACCTTTTTCTTTGACAAACGGGTTTAGGCAACTTGCAGCAATGTCATCTAAATTTGTCACGTGTCATGATTATTGGGCTTTACAAATGTAAAATTCTGGGAATTTTATATAATTTTTACGCAGATAGTCACTTATCCAAGTCCCGATATCATCACCCCATTGTTGCAGATTTCTAATGTAATAAAATATGTGCTTGCTAGCATTTGATCACTAGTTGCCCACTTTAAGTTCTCTAGTTTCACTCAACTCTTCTGGTACTGGGTCTTCTGTCACCTTTTCTTATGAATCATCAGTGCTGATATATTCTGTGTTACTATGACTAAGAGAGCCACTGGAGCCTGGTTCAGACAATGGTTGCCTCTCTCTTTTTTTTTACATCAGTCTTCATGCCAATTCTGGTGGTCCAGCTTGTTGGAAGTCTTTACAACTAAAACTTTTGTCAGGTGATACTATAAGTCTTTTTCCCCAAGCTCTGCCAGCTGGCTTGATAAGGTATACTACTGGGAAAATTCCCTGGGTATCAGAGTAGTGCAGCTTGTTAAGAATTCAGTCCTTACAAAGGGGACAAATGCCTGTGGTTTGAAGTGACTGCAGAGTAAAGAATCATTGTTAGTCATGTCCTTAAGAAGCTCCACAAGCAGATATGGGAATCATTGCTTTGGCAATGCTGTGAAATGCATCCCCCTGACCACATTCTAATCTCTTAAAATTTTCTGCCACACCTTTTTTCATAGGTCCAAAGAAGCATACATATAGAGGCTGGAGAAGGTGCTGTTAGGAGGAAGTAAAAGGAATTGAATTTTATTTTGCTCACACAGTTCGATAACTGTGTGTGATGCCAGGTTGTCACCCATTACTACTCTGGGAGAATTATCATCAAGGGTTCTGAAATATGATATCATAATAGTCTTGAAGCAGTCTTTGAAGCAATAATTATCAGACCACCTGGATTTTGTTCAGTTGTACCGAGCATTACTTTGCTCACCCAACTGTTCATTCTGCCTTGTACACGATATATGGTGCAAGTGAAATAACTACCATTATTGCTACTAGCAAGCATGATAGATAAAGACATCATTGAAATGTTCATGAGTTTTTCAGGTTGCTTTGTACCCTTCATAAAATAACACCTGGTTGCTTCTTGGTTCATCAGAGAAGTTTGTTTTGTCACAGTTAATAATGGTTTATGGAGGTATACTGGCAAGTCAAGTAGATTCTAAAGTTGTACAAAATTTATTCACCTGCTCAGCACTATTAGCAGCCCCTTTACAACTTATGTTCTGGCACACATGCTTGCTGATGGAGGTGTTATGACAGATGATACAACATTTGACCCACTCTTCACCTGGCATATTGTCTTTGAGCTACATTATGTTTTGACCTGTCTTGTTTAACCCCTACATTGCACACCTGTTTTGTACAACAAACCCCGTGGTGCATGTGTATGTGATATGATTATTACTTCAAATAGCGGAATGTATAGAATTTGTTGGTACGCACTCCCACACCATGGGGGAGGGGGGGGGGGTTTAATGTTAGTCAATGACATTCAGATCTTACAGTTTATGTAGTAAATTGTAGAAATTAAAATGTTGACTTACTGCTCTGACCTCACTTCTAACGCCAACCTATCGATTGATCGTAAACTGTAGACAAACATTTAACCATACCCTTACTATATGACAGGACCACAAGGCCACTGCCAGTGAAACAAACTCAAGAGTTAT